AAAGCGTCAAAGGGCGTTGCTTTGGTTGCTTGTGGTGAAGAAAGCGTGAAGTCCACATCCTCAGTACTGAGGGCGTTGCTTCAATCACTCGTGGTGAATAAAGTGTCAAGTCCACATCCTCAGTAATAAGGGTGTTGCTTTGGTCGCTTGTGGTGAAGAAAGTGTCAAGTTTAAAGGCAAAGCTCTGGATGTACCAGTCCGTCTACATTCCCACCCTCGCCTGTGGTCAGGAGGTCTGGATCAGGAACAAAAGATCCAGATCCTGGATCCTAGCTGCTGAAATGAGCTTCCTTCTTTCGGTGGGGGGGCTCAGCCTTAGAGACAGGAGGAGCTCTGTCATTTGGGGGGGGGGGGGGGAGCTCGGAGTAGAGCTGCAGCTCCTCCGCATCAAAAGGAGTCAGTTTATGGAGGTTCTTCCAGTCTGAACGCCTTTGGAGGTTCTCTGGGTCCCGTTAATCTGTAATTTACTGTGATATTGATATTGAGGAAGTTGACATTGCAGCAGTGACCTAGTTTTCACATATTGTGCAGCTCATGTATGAGAACATGAATTTTTCAGCCATTTCAACCCTTTGATTAAATAGTTTTGGGCATTTGTCCTTTTTATTGCCTTGAAATATTGTAAATAATACAAAAAAAGTTTTTTTTCCGGTAATCTTAACTTTTACTATGCAATAAAACGAACATATTGAGACGTATTTAAGGTGCAAAAGTGTAGCTTTGAATAACGGATGTTCTCTTTAAAGATGCTTTTTTAAAATCTGGTATTTCCACTTCTTTAGTTCTCACAGTAAGGTTGTTTTATCTTTCCCTAGCATGTTGGAGTTTCTTTTGTAAAAGCAAACAGACCAACTGTCAAGATTTATTTGAGCGATAACTCAAAACCCGAACAATGAACGACGTGCAACATAAAAACACCTCCATCTTTCAGATTTGAAAGGTGACTAGTTGAAACTGTGCTGGGGACGGTTTCAGGGATGCAGCACAACCACATATGGGAAAAAAG